TACAATTAACACCCCCTTCAGATGACACACGAAGTCACCATCCCTCTCATCACAACTGCTAAATTACACCCCAGCAATCATTGGTCCTCGGGAACGTGGTTCCCGGGAGCCTCAAAAAAAATCTTCCTGCCTGACAAAAACCCCGGTCCCTGGACAGTCCGCGCCCAAACTCTGGTGATGAGCGTCGCCTCACAGACCGACTGGGACCGAGGAAAAAAAAACAGCCGGCGGGGGGGAAACCCAGCTGGGGATTTTTTATTCTAAATTTAAAAATGAGTTGAAAAACTTGAAAAGCAAAAGTCACACACACAAGGTTAAATCCAGTAATCCAGTCGGCATGCGCTGACACATGCAGAGATGAGCAGACGCAGACAGACACAGACACATGCTCTCACACACGCTCACACGCTCTTCCCACTTACACACTCGCTGCGGCCCTTACTCGAGACGCTGAAGAACGTGCTGCCACACATCTTCTGGCTGCGCTCCTTGACGTCAGTTGGTAGGTTCTGGGGAAATCGGTAGCCTCGGGGACCTGTGAGACGACAGGAAGCGGTCAACGAGTGGCTATCTGACAGCTAGGACTTGTCTCCACTCTGGACCAATAAGTTTTCTACCCAAAATCCCATAAAAGACAGATGAACAGTAAAGTTTTTATAACTCTTCTACCTGACTGTGACTACGTGCCCGGGCAGGGCAGCTCCAACCATAAGTGGTACAATATAAGTACACACAACAATCTAAGTCGATGCATACAGTGCAAGTGTACATAGAGGGTAGGTACATACAGTATAAGCCAGCACAGGTACACACAATATAAGCCAGGACTTGAGATAACTCGCTGGAAGATGAATTCTTGAGTCCTATACCCTTGAGAAGATGGAACCTATAGAAGTACTGCAGTCACATGAGGAGGGTGCAAGACACTCCCTCTAGCAGTCCAAGAAAATGGCATGGAAAAAAAGGCACTACCAAAGCTGGTAGTGAGAAGGAAGATGGATGAGAACATCTTGTCCGTTTGAGACATTCCTGTCTCAAAGAGTAAAAATGTAAAGATGCCAGAATAAGGGATATCCAGAAAGGAACGTGAGTAGAATACAGCCTATATGGCACAGAATAGTGCCGATAAAGCATTGAGACGTAATAAAGGCCTATGACGTGGAAGACAACGGACACAGACACGGACAACACAGACACGGACAACATAGACACAGAGACAAGTGGCAACTGCCTGGCACTGTCCCCTTAGGCACCCGAGATGCCTAGCGCAAGATGTGCCAGAGGCTGATGATGCCAAAGGAGAGGAAGCCCTATGACGATAGCATGTGATGATGAAATGTAACTCGTTAAAAGAAGTTAGTGCCACAGCAGTTAAGAGGATGCTCGAGAGGCTCAGCAAGCCTAGAGAAGGAAGCCGACGGCCAGGTGACCGTGGCTGTAGCTCCGGACGTGAAGGCAAGCTCCTCAGGGGAAAGATCCGTGACGACGTCGGGCCGAGGAAGGCAGACAACGCAAAGTTCACGAGAATCCTGAGATGGGTCGGAACTGCCCTGCCCGGCAAAGGCTCTGGTCAGGCTGAGAAGAAATCCTCTCCCTCTTCTTCCTCTTCTTCCAGAGAGCTGGTCCCACTACAGACCTCTCCGCTAAGCTGACATCAAATTGCCCTCTGTGATAGTAAAGGTTTTTCCCCTTCTCCCAACTGCTGGCCCCGACACTTATCTTTTGGAAAAGGAGCAGACAAAATCCATCCTCGGTCGGACGTGGATGGTGAAATGTGCTCCGTGTGTGCCTCGGTGCTGTTGTTTCCAACCTTTGGCTACGAGGCTCCTCAGGGTACCTAAGACAAAACAGAAAAGGTGACTATTGCCGTCAAAAACAGTAATCCCCAGGGCTCCTCCGCACCCCTGCCCCGGCCCACCTCAAATCTTGATTTGACTCCAGAGGGTGCCCAGAAGATACCTGCAAAAAGAATAGGTACACACTGAGCATGCTGCTGTGTAACACTCACCTGTGAGTCAGCCTGCCTAAACACCGACTCACCTGCCCTCCTCTGTTCCTTGGCATGCCTAGGGCAGCGACAGCACCTGCAAAGAAACAAAGCAGAAAAGCATGCTGAGACACTGTGAAAACACAACCTCCCAAATCTGACAAGGATGCCACACTGATACCTTAAGCTGCACACAGCTGGAATGGGCATGCCCGGCCAGGATAGACGGCAAGTGGACCACCTAAAATAAAAAGTGGAGATGCTAAGAGCTGCACCAGAAACTGAGACATCAGCAAAAACAACTGCTTCTGTACACTACTCAATGCTCACCTCGCCCACTCGGCCTTGACTTCCTAAAAAGAGAGCCATCATTTATGCTCTCTCTACAGAGACAAACAGTGACTGACCTGCTCGGGGGAATCCCCTCACCCGGGATGGGGGGCTCTGCCCTGGATTTCATCCTTCTGCACCTGAAAGAAAGGACAAAAATCAAAGAGCTGCAGGATAACTTAAGAGCTCCAGACATCTTGTGCCCATCTACAAATCCCACCTAGAGTCCAACGACACCCCACATTACAAACATCAAGTCCCCGGGACTTCTCCTATTGCACCAGGCTATGCAGCAAGGCAGAGCAGCTCCAGCACAAATGTGTGCAGACACCCGTGACACAGGACAGGACAAACAACGGGGACACAACAGGAACAGAAATCTCTGGGTAAGGAAAATGACAGCGAGCACCAAGAGGATGCAAAATTAGAGGACCGAGGTGAAACTGATGGCGGGCTGATGAAGTTCAGAGAACCCTGGAGGAACAAGATGCTAACTGAATGATTTATTCCAAGAACTGCAAAGATGGATGCCCGAGAATCCTACGGTCAGAAGCCTCTACCTGTCCCCACATTCTTACAAGTCCTAATCCATCATAACAGAACCTTGCAGGGTGCAGCTGTCCATACAGCTCAGAACAAGACCTGAAAAGACATCTGACTGGATGCTTCGAAAAAGAGTTGCCATTCTGATACCTGTCTGAGCTGCCGAGTTAAAAGTTCCATGGCATCGGTGCCAGGGCAAGGAACGCTGAGAGTACAGATACTAAGACTGGTGCCAAGGTTTCTGACAGGCCCCTCAAAGGGCTATGATAAAAGACATGAGATATCCAACAACACATAATACACAAAAGACAAGTGACACAATACACACTGGGACTGCTCTGCCCCGCTCACCTCAGCACTGGGATCAAAAGTGAGATTTTGCTTTTATGGGGCCTAAGGGGCCACTTCATGGACACCCCCCCACCTCCAAAGGGGACTCAAAAACCCGTCGCAGGATTTCCCAAACCAGCACCCTGCTTTCATCCCCCCTGGGGGTCGTAGCCCTCTACTTCTCTCTCAGACATCTGGGGATGCCGGTCTCAGGTGCAAAGAAAGGCCACCTCGTCAGCCGGGAAGGTCCTGCTGGCACCGGGCTGGTGTCTCTTCGACAGCTGTATTAAAGAAAACCAAACATCAATGCCTGATCGTGGCACCACATTGGCCAAAACCCCACAAGTCTGCTCCTCACCCTTCTCTTAAGAACGCTCAGCTGCTTGGGCCGCACGCTTCGGGCACACTCAGAGACCGAGGCCGTCATCACAGTGGACGCCTGGGTTAAGAGGAGATGAGGTGATTTGGCACGGCTGAAACCTGAGTGGACCCTCGCTCCTCCCCCCTACTTCCCTGACTCACCACAACTCCTGGGCAGCTGCCGAAGGCCACCCGGATGGCACCTTTAAATAGAAAAGTTTAGGGCTTCATCACCAAGTCCTGTAATGCATCCACAGGGCTCACATTTGCAGGAAACCCAGAGCATCAGCTGGCTGGTGACGGGGGCTTGGCATACTCTGAGTGGATTGCCTAAAGTACACAAACGAGAATGGAAGCTTAGAGCTGCACCAGAAATTGAGACCTGAGCAATAACAACTACTGCTCTCCACTGCTCACCTTGACTGCTGGTATCCACATTTACTTCCTAAAAAGAAAGACAAAGAACAGTGCTGTAACAGAGGCATCATTTACACTTCTGCTGCAGAGACAAACGGGGCCTCACCTGCACGGGGGAAACCCCTCACCCGGGATGGGGCCCTCTGGCACACATTTAATCCATCTGAATCTGAAAAAAAAGTTAGGACAAAACTCAAACTGTTGCAGGATAACTTAGGAGCTCCAGACGTCTTGTGTCCATCTACAAATCCCATCTAGAGTCCCACTACACCCCACATTACAAACTCCCAGGGACTTCTCCTACTGCACCAGGCTATGCGGCAGGGCAGAGCAGCTCCGGCACAAATGTGTGCAGACACCCGTGACACGGGACAGGACGTGACAGACAGGGGGGACACAACAGGAACAGAAATCTCCTGGCAAGGAAAGTGGCTGCAAGGACTCAGAGAATGCAAAAGGAGATGACCGAGGTGAGACTGATGGCAAACTGATGAGGCTCAGAGAACCCTGGAGGAAGATGCTGGCTGAAAGATTTATTCCAAGAACTGCAAAGATGGACACCCAGGAATCCTACGGTCAGAATCCTCTCCCTAACCTCGCATTCTTACAAAGCCTAATCCGTCATAACGGAGCACTGAGGAGCACGGCTGTCCATGCAGCTCAGAACAAGACCTGAAAAGCCACCTGACTGGATGCTTCCAAAGAGAGATGCAGTTCTGATGCCTGTCGGAGCTCCCGAGTCAAAAGGTCAATGGCCTGGGTACCAGGCCAAGGAATGCAGAGATTACAGATGCTAACAATGATGCCAGGGTTTCTGCTAGGCTCCTCAAAGGCCTAAGGTAAAAGACATGACACATCCAACCACACAGAACACACAATAGACAAATGACACAATACACACCAGGACTGCTCTGCCCTGCGCACCTCAGCACTGGGATCAAAAGTGAGACTTTGCTTTTATTTCCCCCCCAGGCCTAAGGGGCCGCTTCGTGGACACCCCCGTCTCCAAAGCGGACTCAAAAACCCCTCCCGGTGGGTCCCTGCCCTGCGCCCTGGTTTCATCCCCTCTGTGGGTCGTGGCCCTCTACTTATCTCTCAGACATCTGGGGATGCCGGTCTGTGTCAGGTGCAAGGGAAGGCTGCCTCGACAGCTGGGAAGGTCCTGCTGGCACTGTTGTTCAACAACTTCCTGTTGTTTCTTCGTCTGCTCCAATAAAGAAAACAAAATATCAATGCATAACCTCAGCAGCACATTGGCCAAAACCCAACAATTCTGCCACTCACTCTCTTCCCAAGAATGCCCGGCTCCTGGGGCCGCACGCTTCAGCCGCACTCGGAGGCTGACGCCATCGTCGTGGGGCACGCCTGGGCTAAGAGGAGACGAGGGGATGTGGCGCTGCTGAAACCTGAGCGGAGCCTCGCTCCTCCTCCCTACCTCCCTGACTCACCGCAACTCCTCGGCCATTGCTGAAGGCTGCCCTGGTGACACCTTTAAACAGAAAAGGCAGAGGCTTCATCGCCGAGTCCCGGGATTCTTCCCCAGGGCTCGGGAGAGCGGCAAACCCGGCGCGTCGGCCGGTTGGTGACTGGGGCTTGGCCTACTCCGAGTGGATTGCCTGAAGCGCAGAAACAGGAACGGATGCTTAGAGCTGCACCGCAAAGTGAGACTGGAGCAATAACAACTGCTCCTGTACGCTACTCAATGCTCACCTTGCCCACCTCACCTTGACTGCTGATGTCCAGCTTTACTTCCTAAAAAGAAAAAGAACAGAGCTGTAACAGAGTCACACTTGACACTCTCCCTGCAGAGACAAACAGTGACTGACCTGCTCGGGGGAACCTCCTCACTCGGGATGGGTGGATGGATTTTGCCCTGGATTTTATCCTTCTGCATCTGAAAGAAAGCGAGGACAAACGTCAAAGGGCTGCAGGATATCTTCACAGCTCCAAACATCTTCTGTCTATCTAGGAATATCATCTAGAGTCCGGCCACACCCCACAAACTGCGTGTCCCTGAGCCTTGTCCTGTTGCAGCAGCCTCTGCGGCAGGGCAGAGCAGCTCCGGCACAAACATGTGCAGACACCCGTGACACAGAACGTGACCAACGGGGGGACGTTAAACACGACACATTATGCTTGTGGTGAGGGCCTCGAGGGGAAAAGGCAAAAGGGACCCCAAAGACACAGTAGGTAACACGGTACACCCGACAACACGACGTGGACCGGAACTGCTCTGCCCTGCCCGCCTGCACGCTGCCATCAAATGTGGAGTCTCTCCCTTTAGCTGTCCTAAGAGGCCCCTTGGAGAAGATTGCTTTTCCCTCTGCTAATTTTTCAATCTGTCCCAGGAACTCCCAACCCGCTGCTCTCCCTTCTCCAGGCCGTGACCCAGACTTATCTTTTGGATGATCGGCGATGTGAATCCACGTTGCACCTGAAATGAGTCTGCCTCGGAGGGCCCCGTGATCGCCTGTTAGCCTCTCGGTCAGCTACAATAAAGAAAAACAAAACCAACGTATGAGTTCAGAGTTATGTGGGCCAAATCCCAGCAAGTCAGCTACTTGCCCTCTCCTGAGTGTGCCTGGCTCCTTCAGGCTCCACCTTCATCCTGATTCCAAGGCTGTGGCCTTTACTATTAGTGGCACCTGGGTTAGAGAAAAGCACAGTTAAATGGCATTCCTGTGGGTGCACTGGATGACCTTGTGTGAGGAAGACATGGGAATGCCTCTGCTATGCTTCTGAAAAGCCCTGCGTGGGGGGGCCCTCAAATAAACACCCTTTCTCACCCTGCTGCCTGCAAACCCCCCTGCCCCCCAATAACTCCTAACTGGACACCTGCTCACCCTCCCTCTCCCAGTCACAACCCTCAACTCACCTGAAGCCTCCATCTCAAACATCATTTTTGACACTGGGCAGATGCCTCCTGTGACATGATCAATCTGCTGAAAGAAGTGCTGTGCTTGACACAACCTGGGATCTCTGGAAGCTGTACACCTCCTAAAAACAATAAAAACACGAAATAAGAACAAAACCAGAAATTGCAAATGCACTTTATCACCCCTAAACACCAAATCTGAAATCGTCACCTTAAATACTCCCTGTATTCCATGCCATTTTCTTCACAGGATCTTCCAAGCCTCTATTGCTTTAGATGCCCAGAAACACCTGCTGAAAGCAAGCTGAGATAAGCTGAAAGAGGCTCTTCACTGAAATGACAGGAGAGCCCTCACCCCAGCACATCCCAGAGAGGGAATGAAACCCCTCAGCAAAGGCTGGGGTTAATATACCCCTGATGGTGCCCGCCTCCCATTCCCATGATGCCTGGGAAAAGGGAGAGGGCTAATCCCACCAAATATAAAAGCCCTCAGAGCGGCTGCAGCTGTTTGGCTCCTCTGACTCAAATTCAAAGGGAGTAAAGGCCTTGTTATAGAAGAAAGCTCTTCAGAAAAATAACAGCGCTTTCTTTTTTGACACAACTGCTTGGAGCAGAACAACAGAAAAATGGTAAGACATTAAAGCATTGTGTTTAGGTAGCATACCTAGATAAATTGGGTAATTTGCTGTTAACTTACATAATTATTCTGTGTTTAACAAAAGCCATCTAATAAATTAACACCCAAAACTCCAGCAGCCCAGCTGGCCCTACCAAATCTCTCTGTTGATACATGCAGTAAACAAAACCAAAATCCCAGGAAGACCTATCAGAAGTCTAGGAAAGAAACCTCTTGAAATTAATCCTACCTCAAATACAAACCAACCCATCCAGAAAGTGAGCTTCACTCAAAAAACTATTTACACAGAGTTAATAAGACCAAGAAATAAAACAACACACCATCTACCACCAACGAATACAACAGTGAAGGAAAAAAACCCATGTTTTTTTCTTTTTTTTATTTCAACTAACTTCCTTTATTAGCTAGAACCAAAGATTTTGCCAGGGCTGTAACAACAACAACAACTTCTTTTTCTTCTTCTCCTTCTGAAATGTCCCTTCTCCTTCCCAAATTCCTTACAACTTCTGAGTTTCAATCCAAGCCAAAAGCAAAATCCGTGCACTTGTGAGTCCAGTGCTCCTGTCAGATTCTCTGTCTCACTCCACATCTTCTTACACTTTCAGTCTGAACGCTGTCCTGCCCTGATGAGTTTGACAGAAGCATTGGCACATGTTAAGAGAGCATTTCCCTGCCTCCCTCCCTCCCTCCCCAGAGCTGGTTTCCTTAGCGCATTTCAATCGATCCCGAGCCCGCAATGATGCGCGCTCACCTCAAGGCTCACAGCAAGCACGCAGCAGCTCAGGCTGATTTGGCTCCAGGGCTCTGTGCTTGGATAGCTGAGAAAACTCCCGATGAGCCTCTGTTCCAAGACATTGGAATGCAATTTCCCTGTGCATTTGGTGGCAGCTTTGGGTCCCTCTGGGGGACAGCACCCAGCGTGACCCCCGCCCCTCGCCCGCCCCCCACCTGCTCCTGCACCGCCGTGGGGCTCCCTCTCCTGGGCACCTTGGGCTGCCCCCAACGGCATCAGAGCCCCGAGCCTTCACCCCGCCTTTCCCTGACCCCCAAAGAAGGCTCAGAACGAGTCCGCCTGCCCTGGACAGCAGCGCAGCGCTTCCCCCAAGCCCTTCCCCAGATGATGAAATCTCCAAGTGATTCAATCTCTCCTAGGAAAATTCAGTCAAGGGTTTAATATCTGAAAGCTTTACTCTCAAGAAGAATCATTTAAATTTGCCATCCTTGACAGGAGTTGTGATTGTGAGACCAAGTAGAGGAAGTCATGCTGCAGAACAATAAAATGATTTAAATATGAACTGGTTCAAGCCTGAACGGACACTTTGAATGTTTCTGTCTCTCTGCTAAAAAAATTGGGTGTAAGAGAGGGGTTTAACTTTGTTCATTGCTAAATACACAGAAATCTAACATTGAAGTGCCTAGGCACAATACACACAGGTTAGAAAAATGGCGGTGGTACACATTGCATTCAGCTGCAGGCAGAAGGATTAGCTACCTCACACATACCCAATGTGCCTTCCAAGATATTCAATTGAACTTTGGACTCTGATTTCTAAGAACAGGAAAGTGAGGCAGATTAGGAAAGTGATGCCTGCCAGAAATGTAAAGCTACCTTTGATACAGGTTTGGTGGTTTCGTGGTATTTTTTTCCCTCCTGCAATGCATGCCCAGGTAAAAGGTGTTCAATAGCAAAGTATGTGAGGCACACTAAAAGTCAAGGCAATTCACTTCTTTAGTGTGATGATCTTTCTTCATCTCTTAATAAAAGAAGCTCTCTCTGAATGGCTGCCAGATCTGATGAGATATGGTCAGCAAAAATGCCTAAAGCACGAGACCTGTTCTGGAAAGTGCTGCCCATGCACAGCTTTTGATTCTTGTCTTTGCACTGCTTGTGTTGTACTTTTTCTACTGTTTAGAAAGGTCTCGGCATCCAATATTGGTGGCAAGGTCCTTTTTGTGCAACAGGATGCTTTTTGTGGTTGTCAGTGCTTATTCAAGGTGATCTGTCCACAAGTTTGGGACATATTTTTAGAATCTCCTCTTTAATTGTGAGCATTTCCAGAGCATTTAACTCAAGTGATACTTCTTGTGTTAACAGCTGAACAATGTCTAGGAGAATACAGAAAACTATAAAATAATGGTAAATCACAAAAATATGATGCACAGAAAACCCTTATTAACAGATGCTGAAAATAAGAATGTAACCTTTGGTGGCTTGTTTTGAATTTGAATGAGTGCTCTTGTCATCTGCAGCAAAATATTCCTAACTGCTATGAGAATAACTGGCATTTATGGGCACTTAAATATGGTTCTTTACTATCTGTGTTTGCAGAAAATGGGCAGATCTTCCTGAGGTTAGCTGTTGGTATGCCACTTCTAGAGCAGATGGGGAAATAAAACACTGAAATCAAGTGATTTTAGCAATGAGAGAAGGTAAGGGACTATCAGTCCAAATGACAAGCTGGGGCTCACACCATTCTTTGTGTGTGCTTACAGGAGCTTTGGTTCTCTAGGAGTAAGAAAGAGTCTCTATGTTAAAATGTTTGCCTGCTATTGTTGATTAAAGAAACCCCAAAACTGCCACCCACACAGACTTCTGATCAAGAATGTCAGCAGAGTTTAAAGGCTGAACTCTTCATACTTTTAGGCCTGAGCAGTCACCACCTTCTAAACTGTGGTCTAGTTTATTTAGACTACTCAGTTTCTTTCCTTTTAAAATTGGAATTAAAATTTCATGCACCTTTGGCCTTTTGAACTAATATATATTTGTTGTTTTCATATCCTAAGATTATATTCTTCAATTGAAAAACTATCCTATCATATATGCACCTCAAATGAGACGACTTCACTGGAAACAATATATTATCGTGAGAAGTATGCTTTTGTAGTGCTAAACAGTTTTCAGCTGGTTTATCACAAAAATCCCCTCAGACTGTTCAGAACAAGACTGAATTCAGGTAAAACTCTCATTTCATGTGACAATGCAAAGCTCATCTTAGCCAGTAAACAACAATACATTGCTTTGCTGTCAAAATGTAGCCATGAAGGACAGACCTGAGACTCAACTTTTGCACTTTTAAGTATTTTTAAAGCAAGGTGTGCAGCAGGGGGAAAGTTTAGAAAATCAGTAGAAAATGCACTGTTAGATAAAAGCCTTGCTAATTGCCTCCAGAGCCTCTGCGTGAACACAGCTATTTTGTATTCTGGTTGGAGAAGTTGTTGTGGAAAACTTCCAACATGCACTTGAAAAAATGTTGAAAAAGGATCATGTGTTCTGTGTTTTTTGTCAGCATTAAAAATAGCTGCAGTGCTGAAGGTGATCTGTGTAGCAGTGATGTAATTGTGAACCAAAGCTGACATTTTGGTGTCTTATCTGCACGTCTCAAAAGGCTCTAGTTGGAGAAAGTGCACTTTAATGTAATTTTGCTTCTGTTGTGGTTGGCCAGTGAGCTGTCTGTGTACATGCATGCTGATGTTTTAAATATAAATTTACATGTATTTGATGATGTAGAGATACACACACACAAATACACATAATTTAGGTCTGCAAACAAAATGATGCTGACAGACACATTTTTACATTGATTGTAAAATGTAAGTGTGACCTTCTAAAATCTGTTTCCCTTTATATCTCCAGCTAAATAAGTATTCAGTGCTACCCAGTATAAAATGACATATGACAGCTACTTGCTTAATTATAATTTTTGCAACTACCTCTTGATTACCATACACAAAAAGGCTCGGTGATTAGTTTTGACTGATTAACTTCTGTTTATAAAAGACACAGAAAAAGACACATGGTGTTGGAGGATGAAATTCTGGTCCTTCAGAAAGATGAAGCCAAAGAACCTTCCCCAGCAAAAGAGGACAATCCTAAACCATGCCCTGCACAGTCACTCCCAGCAGATGTTGGCCAGCCTGGAAAGATCAGGCAGGCAAGGATAATCAGGAATTCTCCTGTCAGAGTTCCAGCTGGGAATGACTGGGTATGGTGTCAGTCATCTGTGCTCCTGAAACCAGTAGCTTTGTAAAAATAAGTATATAAACAGATCAATGAATAAATTCCCGGAACCTGGATCCCTTCTGAACAGCCCATCTTCAAAAGTATTACCCAGGGTCTCTGATAGCAACCAAGCCCTAACAGCTTTTCCCTGAGGATGTGGAGGTGCTCTGCAGGCTCTCCTCACATCACCAGCACAACTTTTTCCTCCTTGGTGCTGGTGGCTTGCCCCAGGTGCAAATGTGGTGAGAGAACACACAGTGGGAGACCTTGGGAAAGCACCCTAGGTGATATCCTGGCACAAGGGATGATACCTGACAAGATATTTGCCGTCCATAAATATTTAAGCAAGTACTGTAGGAAGGCGGCTTGGGGTTTCTTGCAATGTTCTATTTCCTTTAATTGTCAGTATCTCCTTATCAGCTGGTAGATGTGGTAGGTGTACTGTTATTGTCAAGAAAAACTGATCAAAATACGGGGGAATTTACATACAAATAAAAGCTGCTGGAAATGAACTCTAGTAATCCCAGTGCTCTGGTTTACCTCATCAAATTTCCTCTCCTCGCCAGTCTGAGCAGAGATGAAGAGATGTGGAATTGCATTCACACCTCCTTCAAGGCAGGAAGAAAAGCAGAGTGAATTCATCCCTTTTTCTCTTGGATGGAGCCACTTTTACCCAAGTCTGCAGCACCCAGGGAACAACTGCATTAAAAAAAAAAGACTTGTAAGAACAATGAAGAATTGGAAGGAAGGTTCAGCCACTGAAATGGAGGCCAGCCCACTGTGAAATGTCAGGGTTTATATTTTACTTTTCTTCCAGTAGCTGCTGCTTTTCTCTTGGGATATTTTTTCCCTTCTTTTTAATAAATTCTCTTCCCTGCCTCACTTGAGCCCTGGAGCTTTCTCTGGGGTTTTATTAAGTGGTACTGGAGAGGAAAAATACTTGGGGACATAACACCTCCACACCCCAGACCTTTCCCCTGTATTTGCACACCGGTACCTACCGTGGCCTAGACAGAGCTCTGGAGGGAGAATGGAGAAAATCCTCCCTTGCTGTAGCTGCTGGTGTGCAGGTAGAACTCTTTATCCAAAGTCTGCAGAATTCTGATGCTCTGCAGCAACATGCCAGGATCAGGCTTGGGTTAATGAAGCAATGAAACCAGCACTTAGCTTCCAAATTGATTTCCATGGAGACACCTACCCAGTAATAGTGTTTGGGCTTTTTTATTCAATAAAAGTTTGAGATATAAATATTCTCCATTTGCTTAATAGTTACAGTTGTAAAATATTTTAGGATAGCCTACCCGTCACCTGTCATTCAGCATCTCTATAAATGTCGTGAAAACATCATGGTGAAATAAAAACTTCTTATTTCCAGCCCACAAACCCTATTTCCACACACTCACAAAATCAAATCAGAGACAAAAAGGGGAGAGAAGGAGCTGGGGGGACGGGGAGCGGGAGGGATACAGTACAGCAGGCGACAATGCAGTACTTGCTACACAGTAGCAAAAGAAATGGGTACAAAATTTAGTCTGCTATAATGACAAGCTTCTCAGGACATTTGTTATGGACCAGCGTTGTCCAGTGCACTTCTGAAGGACCACTTGAAATCCAAATTCATTTTCATTGTTCTCCTGCAATTCCAGGCAGCGCTTGGATTTTCGGTTCTGGATAGGACCTCCCTGTAGAGATTGGGGCAAAAAGAAAAAGAAAAAGAAAAAGAGGGGTTTGTGTTAAACACTGACCTTGTTGCATTGCTCCTGCGGGGTAACAGAAGTTATAGAACATTCCAGTGTCCATCTACTGTGAAAACCTTTACAGTTAGAGACAAGGTGAGGATTTGCTGGATTTGGAATGAAGGTTCCTTTGTTGCAGGCTGGTTTAATCTCTGATGCAGTTTGCAATAGTCTCAATTGCCTGGTTTCCATTTCAGCAAATGGGATTTCTGGAATGGAGCTGTGTTTCTACCCATGCATTTTAACCATAAAAAAGCCAAAAGCTTTCCTGTTTGCTTGAGTTCCCTGATTTTGTGGTTCTGCTGCACTTCTGAACACCAAAATAAGGCAAAACACAGCCATGGTATGCTGCATAAATGATCAAATGCAAAAACTGTTTTTTCCTTGAATACTGAAATGTCTTTTATAATCTTTTCTTGCTAATTCTCAGTATTGATTCTGTTCAATTCCCAGCTTAATGCTGCCTTATTAAAGCCTTGCCTTCATTGTTGAGTTGCATCAAGCTTTAAATCTCTGCTATCGCACAAAAACCTATAGACCTCAATTACAATTAAATTGTCATGCAGGTGACATAAATTACATTTCCCCCTCTTGAAATCTATTTTCAGTTGGTTCTCTCCTCCTCTCTCCTGTCTAAGGAAGGCAACAGATAACGTGTACACATCAGGGTCTGGGAGGTTTCTCCCAAGATACATGGAGATAGAGTAGGGTAAATTGCACACAGGTCTGAAAGTGGCTTTCTCTAAAAAGGACCTTGGGCTTGTGTAGAGAATCACTGGCTGAATCTGTAAATCAAAGAAAGGATTTGGTGCAGATTGGTACACCTGAAGTATGGAAGGAGCAGAAGCATTCAAATCGCTTATAGGTACGATGGGAAAAAAGAGTTTCTGTAAAAAACCCAAACTGAATACCCAATTCCATGCAAAAGCCCACCACCTCATAGCTCTGTTCAAGTCTGTGTTGTCCCTTGTATTATAAAGTCATTACAAAGTGGAAGGACATTGGCACAAACCCCACAGAAAGGCTGTGTGCTGTTCCCCAGCCAGGGGCAGCTTGTGCCACTCAGGGCAGGTTCTGCTTCACGCACACAGGTGGCTCAGGGTCCCCTCCTATCCCACCAGTAATGCTTAGTGAGAACTTTCTCTGAGATGGGACTTCTAAAATACCATTTTGGGCCTGGTTAATGAAATACAGAATTAGGTTTGAAAGCTCCACATTTTAAATATAGCTTTGGACAAGAGGGACATTTCTAGAATAATCCACAAAAATTTGAAACGTGTGGCTCCCATAAATCCTCCTGGTAGGCCTATGTGCAGCCTTGATAAAACTCCCACTGATTACTTTGCCAGACAGACAGGCTTGCAGAGGCATTTAATACACCTCCATAATGAAATGCTGAATGAACTGTATTTTCCCACTGCTGTGTAACTGTTATTGACATTTGTATTAATAACAGTAGTTAAATTTGGCTGCCTGGTGGGAAAATAAACTCCAAACTATCCAAAAGTAATAACACTGCATGACATACAAGAAATTTGAAGAAACTAAGATGAAATTTTTTTCAGTTCTGTATTATATGCCATTTCTTGTCTTATCCTAGACACTCACACTTTATCCCTGCCCCTCCACCAATCTCATTCCCCCATTCCCTTTGTTACTTTGGCCTTCTAGAGATCACTGTAGTGAGGTTGATTTTTTTTTTCTCCAAGTTAATTTAATGAGCTCTGAACCAGATTATTCACATGTGAAACTCTGAGGTAATGGATATTTTCTCATTGTGAAAGGAACAGTTATCCTGTTTTCTTCCAGAATAACATTTCTATCCTTGATGAAAGCTGTAGAGTGTGGTTTTCCACTGGGGAGACTCAGGGTTGCATGGCACCCAGGCTCAGCTCTCTTGGCTTAAACTGGCAATTGGGAATTACACCTTACAAGTGTTTCTGCCTAAAGCCAAAATCAAGATGAACTTCCCTGTGTTCTCAGCTGATGCTGGAGGTGCTTGTGTCGCTGTTAGCTATGTAAAGCAGTTTTGCATCTTCCATTTATTGGTTGTCTCTCATCCGACTTCTGGTGCTTGAGACATTCTCAGCTCGGAACCTGCACTGGAAGCTGAGGAAAGTTGTCCCACTTTGTCTTGTTAGAAAACTGCCTTAGTTGGGGTCCATTATTTGCCTGATTTCTGGACTTGGGATATGACTCTGTGCATGGCACTCTTAGGCTTCTCCTGTCATTTCTAATTTACTGGCGTAAGAACAGGAACAGAATTCCCTCTCTCCATGTTTTTGTGAAGTACAGCACTTGGAGCTCTGTTAGGTAGAGGAAGGCACAGGGTTAAAACTTAAAGACTGCCATGAGGACTTAGAATCTTTCTGCTTAATTCCCATTTGTGTCAGTGGTTAAGGGTTTCTTTCACTTGAATGGGCTGAAATGCCATGTGGATTTGGGGGCGGAGGAGGAAGGAGGATGTTCACTGTGGAGACAACGTTTTTTCCTTTTTTCTAAATTTTGTAGAGCAGACCTAGGTGTTATAGTAAATGTGTTCATGAGAAACACTAATACAGGCAGCTACACAAACTAAGTGTAAACCATTCCTAAGGAAAAACAAAACAAACAAGCAACCAAAAAACCATATTTAAAGCCCCCTCACACTCCTTCACTCTCTCTGAAGTGCCCTCATGTAAAATCTGGCTTTTATTTAACAGAAACAAGGGAGTTGGGAGATAAAAAGCCAAGGAAGCTCTTTTTGATGTGGGGAAAGTGCTCTGCATTGGCTACTGAAAACCAGCCAGCTGAGTACATTGGAGCTGCTGTATGGAATACAAAGAGACACCAAAATTAAGTCGTGGTTCATGTGTGTGAATTGAGTATTGCAGGGAGCACAGATGCTTCTAGCAAGATGTGCTTTTTTTAACCACAAAAGGGAAATGTGAAGGCTCAAGCCCTGTGAGGAGCTAAGCTGTTCTGTTTCCAAGAGATGAGAGGCCTGTGCAGAGCCTCAGCCTTCAGCCTTCAGAGTGGGTGCAGTGCACACTTTACTCAGAGTCATTAAGAAAATTAAATCCTCCCCAAAGAGTTAGGCCCAAACATTCTGCAAGTGTTTTGAAAGCCAGTGGCTGCACTCTGCCCCGGGGGCTCTGGTGAAATCCAGCTGTGGTGAACGTGTGAGGACGGGGCTGCAGCACAGCTGGATGAGCACTCCCAGCTCACCTGCACAGCAGCTCTTCAGGGCACTGGGCAGATCATTTAAACCCCCACAGAGCCACTTGTTCTCCTCTGCACAGGGCCTTGAATGTGTCCTACAGCAATGGCCTGGGGTGCAGCAAGGAAGAAAGGCAGGATGAGCACGGCTGGCTCTCAGATCCACACAGACAGGGAGGAACAAGAGCAGTGCCTGGTTCAGCTCTGCCTCTGCTTTGGCTTTAGAACTGCTCTGAAGTACAGGGAGGAAGGTTTCTATACTCAATTCACACACATTACTTAAAATTTCCTGTTATTTTTCTACTTACTGTGTCTGTTTTCACCCCTTCATATGCCCAATCCAAGCCTGGGACAGTGGTACTGTCCTGTCAGCTCTGGACTGCTGACAGTGCACCTAATACAGGCTGCAAAGCCTGAACTAGTGAGCTGTGTAAGGATTAAAGCACACAAACTGAGTAACTCCAGGAAAAAAATGAGCAGGCAGGACTGAGGCATCAAAAGCTAACACTGTCTTGTGCTCCTCTAACTGGCCTGGCCTCCAAATTCCAGCATTCCTGAATGGTTTCTGCAGTCTGTTGCCATCATTAGCATTTGGAACCCTAAAGCCAAATGCAGGCAAAGGTGCCCTTTAAGTGAATTATTTTTTGCCTTTTTTTATAGTAAGCAGTTATCCAAACTTGTATAAAACTCTCATAATTGGATTTACTGCATGCTTGGCAAAAGGGTTTATTGTGTTACTACACTTCATGCTCACTGAAAGGAGAGATGCCCATCTGGGTTCCTTCCCCCATTCTAGGCAAGATCTCTACTTTCCAATTTAAAGGCAAAACTTGATAGCCTAGAGTAATGTCTTTAAGCATGAAACATTAAACATAATTCTGTAGACTGAAAGAAGTTTCAAGAGGCATTGTGGGCAATTGAACAGAATTAGGATTAAGAGCACTGATGATGAGAGACAGCTCAATGGCAGAAGGAGTCTCAAGAGGATAAATAAGCATCCAGGTCAACTCTTCTGTAAAAAATGGACTGAACGTGTCAGCACTAACAGGTTTGACTGGGAACTGCATGGTTTTTGCAAAGCAAATTGAAGCAATTCCTGTGAGAAACACAAATGTTCTCAGCTCCTGCTGGTACTCAGACACACAGAAGGCTGACTGGGTGATTTGTAAGTGTACTGCTAATGCTAACACTGTCCCAAGTCAACATCCTGTACACAGAGTGGAAAGCAACGCTTCTGACTTCCTTCAGAGTTACTGCACTTTCTGCATTTCTACTGGATGGAAGGGGGTTCCTTCCCAGTCCTTCACTAAAGCAGAATTTATCCAGGACCATGGCATTTAAGGACACCATCTGCTGTGCCTGCAACCCCTTGCAGTACAAAGTTGTGCAAAGCAATCAGACAGTTTAGACAGGCTAGTTTTTGCTGAACTGTTCTATGGGATCTGTTTTGGTTTACTGGGGGTGGCAGATGCACAGGTACCAAACCTGATCACTCTGTAAGGCCCGGTCACTTGCAGAGAAGAAGGATGAGGGCTGGAGGTTGTCAGCATTACTGCAAATCAGACTGATGGCTGTTTTTAAGGACTTACTCTAAAGGGAACACTTTTCCTTTCAGAGTTTACACCTGCTGTTTGCTCATCGTATTAAAGCTCCTGTTATTCTGCCTGAAAGAGAAAAAACATGCTCGCCTAAACCTGGATTTTTCAGAAAAAGGTCCTTAAAGGTTAATAAGTACATCCAGCCTCCTA